ACATTTTTTTTTACTTTAATTTAGTTTATATATTATTCTTTACCGTGTAGATATTTTATTTCAATGTGAAGATAAAAATACTAATTTTAACCAGTACAAACTATAACATATTTTTAAATTATTTCATAAATCATTAAGCTCATAAAATAATTCAAATGTTGACCTATATCCTATATAAAAGAGATTACTTATTTCAAAATACATCAAAACATTTATAATGTTAACATCCACCGATACTTCAAAATAAATAACAGATCGTTAAAAGATAAAACTACGGTGTCGCAGTGGTGACAAACGTATTTCTTCATTTATCTCGTGAACTCGAAATAATTATATCGTGCGTGAACGAGATAGAATCTCGTTGAAACGAGATAATAATGATGTCGTGAGAACGATATATTATCACATGGTCCCGCAGCCAGATAGCTTTAGGTTTTCAGCGTACCCATTTTCATACCAGCTGTTGTCTATCAGACGAAAGAAAAAAAATTTAAAAGCGGCTTATAAAGTGTTGGACCCTTGCGTATGTTACGTTTATATGCTATACGGTAACTCCTTCGTTGAGCCATACGGTAAATATATCATTGTGCCATACGGTAAATGCATTGTTATGCCATACCGTAAATGCATCGTTGTGCCATACGGTAAATGCGTCGTTATGCCATACCGTAAATGCATCGTTGTGCCATACGGTAAATGCATCGTTGTGCCATACGGTAAATATATCGTTGTGCCATACCGTAAATCCATCGTTATACCAAACGGTAAATGCATCGTTGTGCCATACGGTAAATGCATCGTTGTCCCATACGGTAAATGCACCGTAACGCAAACAATTACAGCGGTGTTTGAAAGGGGCTTATACTAAGATTTGTTTACACATAAAAACAAAATGCTGGTTTTGTTTTTATTTTATTGGACAAGACGACTAAAACATGTTATTTTTTCTTTCTCTGCACGTGCGTTAAGACATTGAAGTACGAAAACTAAATAGATATATTGTAAAATTATGGTAATTTCTGAAAAAAAAGAGAACACACATATGTTATACGAATAGAAACAAATATTGTCATCCAGTGGGTGATGAATTGTAATGAATTGTAATACCTTCTAATGTTAAAGTCACGAACACAAATATGAATATCATTCTATTTATTATTAAGTACATAAAATAATCTTTAACAAATACATTTAGAACACATATTTCCTTCATCGTTTCAATTTTTTATACAGTATCCATTCATTGGAAAATGTTGATATACTGAAGGGGTTAGATTTTTTTTATGCTTTTGATTGCTCTTTGTTAAAGGATTTTTTATGCTTTTGAATGCTCTTTGTTAAACTCGTATACATGATAAAAAACCTTTAACTGTAACCAATTTATTACGCCACCAATAAGATAAAATTAAATTAAAAAAAAAATCAAATAATTTTAGAGGAAGTTATTTGAAGGGGTTTTCATGACATGATTACAGTGACACAATTCAAATTTATGTCAACAAACAGTAAATATTTGTGGTTATTGACAATTCATCATTCTCTCTCAGATACAAAAAAGTGTGTGTATAAAATGCACAATTAATCACTACTCTATAGTGGATACAAAATGTTTATCTTCCATACTATCATTTGACAAATATTTCACTATCATGTAAGAAACATTTTGAAATAATAAAAATATAATTATATATTTTTCAAAGAAAAATATAAGTATAATTGTCGATGTCATGGTTGGATGTAAAAAAAATCAAACTTATTGATATTATTACTTCCCCCAGGGGTTTCCCCATTGATCACATTAATGAAAAGGAATATGCAGAATTAAAACCCAATTAGATGCCAAACATTTCAAGTATATTTAACCTTAATGCACGCCATTGCAATAAGTTCATTTCGTTTCATCAACGTAATTAAGGAAGGGATAAGTTTGAAATTTACAACGTCACACAATTTAACCTTCGTCGTAGTTTGAATAACTGATAAAAATACCATTAACCAAATATCAATTGTGTCAAAATTAAATTTGTTGTTGTTTCCTTATTATATCTTTGCTTGTGTGTCTGTTTTGATTTCTATTGCGCGTCACAAAATATATCCAGACATATTCATCTTATTTCTGTTATGATTTTTATAATTTTGAAGGTTATTTAAAACAACTTTCATAGTGTGACGTCATTTGAAAAACATAGTCGTGGCAGAGTAAGACGCAAACCCACAAGCCCTGGTATGAGAGGCAGACAACTTAAACACCTTCAACAATCTCACCCTATGCGTTCTGTATATTTGGCAAACTATAATAAAAACCTATTTTGACGTAAAATGGCATATACGTTGCAAAGTAATCTAGCATAACCGTGTTATTGAATAAAAATTGTTATTGGTGTAACGTTATTTATTATTGAATATAAGGGTAACATATACTGTAGCATATTACGTGGAAACAAGTATGTTAAACAAGTATGTCGTCTTATTAGGAGTAATATTTCAACTTAAATTATATACGTAAAAAGTACTTTCATAAATGATTGAATTCAAAATGCTTATCGCTTCGTTCGGTATATGCAAAGTTCAGTTCATGAGAAGTGATGGAAAAGTGCAACATCTCTCACGCCCCCCCCCCAGCACCTGCTAAAGCGGTATTAGATCAGAAACACTTAATGTGCTGGAATCAATAATTTAAAATGAACAGAAACATAAATATAACAATACTGAAGTGAAGTACAAAGAAAAAAGAACACAACAACAACAACAAAAACAAAAAAGGAAAAAAGAAAAGAAATAAAAACAAACAAAGTAAAAAAGACATCATGACATTTGCAAAGTTGATTTAGGATTGAGTCTGTTCATTTTAAAAACAACAAAATACAACATCAAAAATTTAAGCGTTTACTGATATCCACCATACAGATTTATAATTATTTGTTTGGGTCATCAGACCAAACAAATAATGGTAGAGAAATTTCAGACCCTTATGTTCTTATTTGCAAATACCGAAAGTAGTCCAAACTCCTCGAAGCGATTACTTCCCTTCATATGTACAATAACGCGGAAAAATTAAGGGGTGATCACTGCGTAAAGATTGTCAAAAAAACAGGCGCATTTATTTCGTAAAGAAAAAATTGTTCCCGATTGGTCGAACATTTCTAATATTGTGTTATTCTTATAGATATACAAGCTTATATTAAGCTCCATGATTATTAACTTCATTGTTAAACAACAGGTTAACCGCGAACAAAATATATCGAAATTAATAAGGGTAACAAACTTTAATTTAGAATAATATGGTTTTCTTCAGGCACTTTAATTGTAACAACCCCCGGGTCGAGGGGTTTTCACGGTCGCTTTGGAAGCGAGAGGTCTGGAGTTCAAATCCAAGTCAAGGCAAGTCATCTCATTTTTTTATAAGCCAAATTAACATTGAATTGATTATCAGTGTTGCAATTAGTCTTATAGTCAATTTACTATAGTTATAACACTGGAAACAGCATTGGTGACACTATACATGTACAAACAAATTGGTTTATAATCTCACAACCTTCACCTTTCTGACATTCTGAGACCCAAACAAATTCAGCGCCTTCTGTGCTTTGATTTTTGACTCCTCTTGGTATTCCACCTCATAATTTATTCATGAGCGATTACAATGCCGACTGGCACACGTGTGTCACTTATGACGTCATTGGTAGGTGATTGTTATACCAAATAAGTTACTATATAATATGAATACAATATTATTTAATGAAACATGTTACTAAAAATAAAACAACAACAACAAAACCTAAAACAGAACAGAAACTAAAACCGCAAATATTCACAAAAGACACAAATCCACGACCAACAACAAAACAACAACAAGAAATCAACAAAACAAAGACCCCCCCCCCCCAAAAAAAAAAAAAAAAGAAGAAAAAAAAGAAGGGAAAAAAAAGCAACAACAGAAAAAAACAAAAAAAACACAAAAAACAAACAAAAAAAACAAACAAAACAAATTAAAAAAAAAGAGAAAAAGATAAAGACCCCCCCAAAACACCCCCCCCCCCCAAAAAAAAAAACAAACAAAAAAACAACAAAAAAACAAAAAACAAGTGAAAACACAGCAATAACAACAACAACAACAAACGAAACAACAACAACAACAAAAAAAAAGTGACACAAGCTTTTTTTTATATTCAGTACTGGCTCTGGTATCTGAGGATAAATTCATATAACCGTATCTAGCTCTCCTTTTAAAAAAATAAAAAATATGCAAATATTTTGTACCTCATTCACCGGTGAAATATGACATTCTTCTTTCTGTCTTATTAAAAGATCAATAAGATTACTTATGTTTATATCGGAAAATAGCGTGTTGTACTGGCAACAGATGGACAGAATTGTTTATATATAAATAAATCAATGTACCCCTCCCACCTGTATTACACATTGGACATGACTAATTTATTAACCGTCTTGGGAAACAACGATCATTATTTCAATACGGTTACCGTGAAAAGTACTTGGAATGACATACGTTTTATAATGAAACTACAGTTTTTATTTTTCATATCTTTTGGATTGATTTGATACCTTTTAAGAAATGTAGAATTAGGGAAGTTTACAAATAAAAATGCCCTACTGACATATATTTTAAATAAATTGTTACGTCTTACAGTATTTTAAAGTGAAGAGTAAGAACGAAGGGAATTTCGGAATTTATAACAAATTGGAGGATTAACCAAAGGAAGATAAATAAATGTGAAACAATCAAAAAGTGTAAATCGCCATATTTTAAGTGAAATTCATCATTCGATTTCAGGACAAGCTGGAATATCTTATAGCAAATTTTCATTTTGGATTATATTTTCTGGATGTGATATTGGAAACGCGTATTTGAAATCTAATTGTAGTCTATGAAAGAAGATCAAAACGATATGAAATATCAATCTTAATATTTTGATATCGTGTAGTGTGGTAACAAAAATTGTTTGAAATAACAACTCAAAGAAAAATGTTTGTGAGATATTTTTGAAAGAAGACGTAACTGATTACAATTAAAACACATCCCTGTCTGCTTTAAAAGCGAACAATTATATTATTTTGGATTAAATAGCAGTGAAAAATGACGTCATTTATAAGATGCTATACCTTTGTTTTCATCATGACGTCATCATATTGTAAAATGTTCTAAATATTGAAATTTGACATGAAAAACAGGAATCCGTTACTATGGATATTGATAATGTTAATGAGGTGCTGCACGGCAAGTACTTCCGTGTCTTCAGGTAAGATATAGATGTAACCGTGGCCCCAACCCCGAACTTGACCTAAACTTTAGAAATTTTAATCTCCGCCTATGTTGTGAAATCCACACTTACAGTCCCTCAAATGTATTCAGACAAATGCCCAACGGCAAAATTCGGCACCAAAACAAAACCGATCCGTAGACGATACATAAAATAATCTTCAACACTCTGCTCAAGCATAATAACATAACATAACATAACATAACATAACATAACATAACATAACATAACATAACATAACATAACATAACATAACATAACATAACATAACATAACATAACATAACATAACATAACATAACATAACATAACATAACCACGTTTGAATATAATTTATTTTGGACTAATTTCTGAAAAATTAATTATTAACTAAGTCATAGTATTATCATTATTGTTATTGTTATTACATGTATTATATTATCTTACACTTTCTTAATTAATAGCATAATAAAGTAACCAGCATATACAAATGTTAATTCGCGCGAATTGAATCAATTCCTTTATATCAATTAAATATATTAAAGACGAACAGATGGCGCAATGCCGCCTTATGTTACAAATTAACACTCAAGATTAAGTCTCAATTTTGCCGGTTTTAGGCCCGCCAGTATCGAGCTAGAGAACACGCTGGTGTGTGTAATATGTTGTCTTGTCCACTAGATGTCCAAAAAAACTCACAATATGATTTTAACATAGGTAAACAAAATATATATATAAAAAAATAGCCGAGAAAAAAATCTCTTTCTTTGATTTTATAATTGGCGAACAAAATATCTATCCTGTGATTTTAACATAAGCAAAGAAAATTCAAACATAGCCAGACATATCCATATTTTATCATTTTAACATAGGTAAACAAAATAAATAAATATCCGGCAAAAATCCACCCTGTGATTTTAACATAGGCAAACAAAATTCATAAATATTCGGACTGTGATTTTAAAATAGGCAAACAAAATTCATAAATATTCGGACTGTGATTTTAACATAGGCAAACAAAATTCATAAATATTCGGACTGTGATTTAACATAGGCAAACAAAATTCATAAATATTCGGACTGTGATTTTAACATAGGCAAACAAAATTCATAAATATTCGGACTGTGATTTTAACATAGGCAAACAAAATTAAGTCATAGCCGGACAAAAACCCCAACCAATTGATTAAATCATAACCGAAAAAAAGAAAAGACCGTTTGCATAGATAAAATTACTATTTATCAATATGGGGGTTTGACCACTTTCGATTTAAAAGCTAATTATGCCTCAGAAACAAATAAATTCTTACCTCTTTAGAAAAGACAAACATGCATTTTATAATATTTAAATAGTAGTTTTAGAGAATGTTAGGTGCTAGTAACTTGAAGAAAGTAGCAATAAAAGCAACAGTATGTAAAAGATGGTTTCATTGTAGTTGGCCTATGCGTAACTTTTGGGAAAAAACTTGAATGAAAATACTGTACACCCAAAATAGAAAAAAAAAAAAAAAAAAAAAAAAAACTTTTGAGATACGAAAAATAAAAACATTGTTGAGGCAAAATGGGCCTTTAAAGTAAAAAGTCCGATATACAATCTAAAATGACGCCATTTAATAATGACTATTTGGTGTGTTCAAATTGAAAATGTGCATGTTAAATAGTGTTGTGCAAATTTCGTTAAAACGAAAAAATCAAACTTCTGTTTCTGTGTATTCACCAAATCTCTTCGAGGTCATCTGTATATTAGTTTATCCTTACAAAAGGGTTTTTGTAAACAAAAACGACCTGTTTATAGTAACATTGGTTAATATAATTTGCATTATAAAGTATATACCTTACATTTTTATCACGTACGTATAATTGGCTAAATTGGCTAATGACTTTGACCGATTTTTACACACATTGAAGTTCTGGTATATTGTTTAACTCGCCAAGGACACAGTAATAATTATTTGCCGCGAAATTCAGTTGACCAACACGGTATTTCGTACTAAAAATATTTTTCTAACAAAAATAGAAGAAAAGAAAACAAAGCGTCTGTCAGATGTCTGGCAACTTACGTATTCATTAATTAAGAAGATATTAAATATTAAAGGCATTCATGCCAATCTTCCGAAATGCCAACTGCCGAAGTATAGATTTTTACAGATGTTGCTAACAAAGTAATTACACCCGTGCATGTCGTGCATTCATTTGAAAATTGATTAATGAAAATAAGAAATGGTTCAAATAGATAAATCTAGGTTAATTGATGTTTTGTTTTTTTTATTTAGAAAGATTACTATGTATTACAATGGTTTTAATGATATCGGAAAAGATGGAACCTTGTATTTATTTTCATATTTTTAAAGTTATGTTAACAAAAGATCAGAATAAATAACTTAAAATAAGTTAAGTAATTGATAAGTTTATTTTCTGATACTCGATCACGCTCAATATCTTAAATTGACCTGTCTTTTGAATTTACCATATTTAATTAAAGGAATAAAACCGGAAATCCGTGAGTTTCCACATATTACACATAACAGCTGAAATTTTTTGTTTCTTTTAAGAAAACGAAATCTTCAAAGAGAAGTAATGCAACTGGTCATCATATTTCCCCCATTGTAAATGTTTACCTGTTTACATTTCTGTCATAGTCAATGTAACCCGGCTCCCTACCCTTGGGAATAGGAGATGATAGCGACGGAATATATCTTCTACCTGTCCCAACAGTTCAATATTGTTGTTTTTATTTGTTTGGGTCGTCAGACCAAACAAATAATGGTAGCGAAATTTCAGACTCTAATGCTGTTAATTGCAAGTGCCGAAAGTAGTCCGCTTTTTTGAAGCGGTTACTTCTCTTTATATGTAACACTTAGGCCGAAAAATTTAGGGGAGATCACTGCGTAAATATGATCACATGACAGGCGGATTAATTTTCAAGCAAAATAATTCCCGAATGGTCGAAGATTTCTAATATTGTTTTATTCTTTATAGATATACATGCTTATAGTAAGCGCCATGATTATTTACACAAGTGTTAAGGTGATTCCGCTTTGTCAGCAATGTTTGTTTTCACAAAGTCTGTCCAAAGTGAAAGTAGGCCACAATTCATATAACAACAAAGCTCTTATTTTAAAATGATGAACCATTTGAAAGTACACTTCCAGGTTTATATTTTAAGGACAATTATAAACAAAAATAAAAATGATAACAATAAGAATATTTACCTTGAATGTGCTACATTTCTGAAGACCAAAAACATTCTGTTGCAAAGTTTTATGCACATTTCATGAATGGCAAAATCCCTTTTTAAGTCTGTTTTAGTGCCTACAAAAGCTATTTTTTGCAGCAAATACAAAAATCTTTGAAAACTTAACTCCAAATAAATCCATATCTAATGTCCTTCTAAGCACATGGCCTCCATTATTTTTTGTAAAAAAGTAGTGCAAGAAAACAATCATCATTTATAGCCATATGAACTACAATTAAAATGAAAACACAATCAAACTTTAAAATCTAACCTTTTTTATGTGTAACAGTGAAGTGTGTCTGTTGGTCATGTACACAAGAGATAGATAAATGATGTTTATTTTCATGGTACTACTTTTTTACACATGTCATGGTGGCCATGTTTTTTCAAGGTCAGATAAACTACTTTCCTAAGGTTTATATTTTTTAAAGTTTTTTGTATTTTCTGCAAAAAGTAGCTTTTGTAGGCACTAAAACAGACTTTAAAAAGGATTTTGCCATTCATGAAATGTGCATAAAACTTTGCAACAGAATGTTTTTGGTCTTCAGAAATGTAGCACATTCAAGGTAATTTTTCTTATTGTTATCATTTTTATTTTGTTTAAAATAGTCTTTAAAACATAGAACTGGAAGTGTACTTGCAAATGGTTCATCATTTTACATTGTAAGCTTTTTTGTTATATGAATTTTGGCCTACTTTCACTTTGGACCCACATAGTGAAAACAAACATGGCTGACAAAGCAGAATCACCTTAAACAACAGTTAGCGGCGTTACAAACCCTAACTAGAAAAATATGGTTTTCTTTAGGCCATTTAACATGTAAATTCACCGTGGCCGAGGGGTTTACGCGCTCGCTTAGGAAGCGAGAGGTCTGGAGTTCAAATCCCAGTTAAGTCAACTCATTTTTTTTTCAAATTGTTTAAGTCAAATAAACATTGGACCGAATATCGGTGTTGCAATTAGTCTTATAGCCAATCTACTACAATTAAAACGCTGGAAAGCATTGGTGGCACTATACAAAAACAAATTGTTTTATAATCTCACAACCTTCACCTTTCTGACATTCTGAGACCCAAACAAATTCAGCGCCTTCTGTGCTTTGATTTATCTTTGGATTTAATCAGCGTGAGATAATTCCAACTAGCAGTGCAGGGTATTTAGTGGGAATGAACATTCATTTGCGTGTTCCCTGCAGGGCGGGCCCTTACTTTGGGTTATATGATCTAAAAGGCAAAAGAGCAAAAAAGGAGCAAAAAATGTTTTTTATATATCAAATGGTGTACACAAACACGTCCATATGACTACATACCACAAGTTAAATACCACAAATAAAGGTCAGAAATGGTTAATATCTCTCTAGGGAAAACCCAAAGATACTAAAACTTAGCTAAATAGTGATTTTCACTGTTTGTTAAAGGCCAGAAACAGAGCAGTAAAGTCGTGACTTCGTCCCATAAACACATCTTGGCTTGAATTATTAATCAGACTGTTGTTTTCTAAACAATGAACATAATTAACGCTCAGAAAATCTTGACATTTAGTGTAATATATAGAAAGGAAACCCCACACAACGGGTATAACAAACAATTCAATTTTCTAAGATGATAGGAACTAAATTTAACCTACTAACTTTAGTTTTATTTTATATACAGACAGGTTAGGTTTGTAAATATGAAGATAGGGGAGACAGTCCTGTATATAAACCTTCTGATTATCGTGTCAACACGATATCCTGATAAAAAAGTCAATATTCGTATTTGGAATGCTAAAAGTCAAACGGGCAAAACATACTAAATGTATCAGAAGCAATGAATATTCATCTTTATACAGTTAAACTTCTGTTTAATTCGAACCCTAATATGTCGAACATTGATGCTTATACAACTAAAATTTAGACAAACTTACGAATTTACGATAAGGGCTGAATGTTTGGTCAGTTAACTTATGGTAGTTTCAGTCTTTACCTTGATTTATCGTCCAATAAGAATGCCTTAAGTTGAAAATTCCTGACAGAATATTTCGCTTTCTAAAAAATTTTACGCAATGACCTGTCTAAAACAAAATATGAGATAAAAGAAACAAAAAATATTGTTCTTATTTATATTTCAGATTTTACCATCCAACCGTCACTTGACATTTCATCTAACATCGGAAGTGACGCCACAAAGAGCATAGCTTTCACAACCCCTTTTCTTACCACCGAATCATCTGGAGTTCAATATGAAACAACATCAAATAATGTCCAATCATTTACAGTGCTGAGTAAAATTTCACCCACATCAACTAATCAAATAGCAACAACTGACTTGCTTAAGGGCGAAGACTCGACACTGTCACATTCTGGCGATGGAGATACAATTCAACAAACATCAACCTATGAAGGTCTAAATACATTGCCTACAACGAAACTAGATTCTGTGATAAATGATTCTTTAACTGAAATGAAAACATCATCACGCAGTGTGAATAGTTTTTCGACATCATTAATATTATCCGTGAACTCATTAGAAATTGTATCTAAATCGATTGATGTTGAAATAAAGAGCTCAACCGACACCGAATCTGCTCAAGAAACTATCAACATGAGTTCACATTCAAGTTTAACAACATCTCATGCACCACAAGATACAATTTCAAAAAGTTCAACATATTTACATATGTCATCGTCAACATCAAATGTAAATCTACAAAATGCTAAATCAACAGATGGTTTAAGCTTATCAAAAGTAAGCAGTGTTTACGAAAGTGATTTTCAAACATCCTTAGTGTTAACAATATCAACATCACTTTCAAAGACTGCCATGCCTTTAGCTTCCGAGCTATATACAAATATATTAAATGAAGGCACAACTTCATCTGTTACAGCGTTTATATCAACAGATTCAAGTGTTTTTGAAACTGAGAATATTCACCCTTCGGAATCAAATTCTGTGCATATTCAGTCTGTGATATCAAGATCATTATCAAGTCAACCAAAATCATCAGAGACTGTTATATTCGTCGAATCAGACACAATGACAACATTTGATTCGACTACTGCATCAGAAAAAATAGAACCAACGCCAACAATATCAGTCATCTCAGGAACAAGCCAACCTTCAGATTCAATAGCAACATTGTCACAGTCAGTTGCGCTTGGTTCAAGTTCTTCAGGATTATCTGTACCTATTGTAGCTAGCTCAATGTCTAGTTTTGAATCATTTACACAAATTAACCCGTCTCCTGCTTCAATGTACTCGGATGCATTGAACACGTTATCGATTTCATCTTCCGTTATCGATGGAGTTATAGATTCAAATTCAGCTTCTTTTCAAACTTTATCAACATTGAGTGTTTCTGAACTGACAACTGGTGCAACTTTAATCGCGTCACCAACTGGCATATCTGGAAGTACATATTACGGTAAGCTAAACAGTGGGCACTCTAAAGAAACTGTATTCACTTATTTTAACAGTTCAACTGTATCGTCACATTTAACACAAATTATTGACTCGAACAGAAATATTGTCAATTCACAGAGCTCTGACAAAGTTAGCACTGACTTGAACAAGATATCGGGCACAGTAATTGCTCCGTCTGCAACCTCTTCGTTTTTGATTTCAACCGTTCTGGTGTCATCTTTAACACAATTTTCATTTGAATCTTTTCAATCCGATCCTTTACAAGAAGTCACAAGGACATTAAAAACAGTAAACACCGTAAATTCACTATCTGTTCATGAATTCCTGTCAACAATATCTTTAACCAATTTGCAAATAAGCATGTCACCTTCTTCAAGCATGCATTCTTCGTTAGCATCTGTACCTTCAAATAGTTTGAATGACACAGTAGATACAATGAGTGTACTGACTAACAGCGTACACGTATCATTGACTCAAAGTATTACGAACTACAGAACGGTACAAGATATTACCAACACACATTCAGCTGTTTCACCAAGTGGAAGTGTAGCTTTTTCTGGTGACTCATTTATTCGACTGACCCAAACTAGCGGTATCACAACTTCCAGTACGATAAATAATGTGGGCTCAAGCATGTCATCATTTTCACAAAGTAGATTACTGAGCACTCAACACTCAAGTTTGTTACAAAGCGAAATTTATTCTACACCATCAAGCACTACTTTAACTGTAAATAATTCTTCACTGTCTAATATTTTCAGTAGTGATAATTTCTTGCCCACATATGTTATTGACAGTACAAGCTTGTCTTCACAGACAGGTCTGCATACAACTTCTCTGACACGGGAATTGTTTGTGACGATGGATACAATAAAAACAAACGCAATGTCGTCTATAAATGTTTCTAAATCCGGTGTACCAAGTTCAACACACGATGCCGCTGTTTCAACAAGTGAAAATTCACTGTTGCATTTAACCAGTATTTGCCCTTCCCACACAAGTATTTTCCAGAGTTTGTTCAGCATGACAGCTGAAGAAAACACAAGGGTCTCATCAATTTTTTCTATAAAGAGTAGTAAAATTTCCACGAAAACCGTCGTAACTGCACCAATTGAAAGCAACACAGAAGTTCTGCAAACATTGACAATATCTGAGACAACACTAACTTATTCGGATACATCGCCGTCGACGACAATACAAAGCATAATTAGTAATGGCTTATCAACTGAACCGTATTCAATGATGTCCGACTCAACATTTTCAATTACACCAGTGTTAGAGGGAATATCCTCTTCACAATCAGAATCAAAAAGTAACCCTTTGACAGAGAGATATACAACGTTAAGATATTTAAGCTCAATATCTAGCGACCAAGTTGAAATTACTACGAGTACTAAGAGTGACATTACTCGCATTACAAGTTTGAAATCGTTGGAATTGTCATTATCAAAACGCACAGATGTATCATCCTCGTTAGCATCAAAGAGTTCACTACTATCACCTTCATTTGATACTTTACCAGCACAAACCACCTATAGTGTTCTCCCACCGACAAGTTTAACGCCCTCGCTCACCATAGTTTCTACGGACTTTTCACCTTCAATTCCTTTGGTATCGTCGGCACTCACTTCAGATAAAATAAGTTCAATACCAACCGAAAATATTTCTTTTATTTCAGCATCAAGCGTTCAAAGCACAAATTTGGAGCAAACAGATAAAGCAGTTTCTTCTTCAACGTTTGTCTCGCCGATAGTTATATCCTCATCTACAGTTTTATCAAGTTTGTCAGGAGTTGTATCAAAATATCCGAACGATACCTCTACTATGATCTCAAAAACCACTGAAACATTATCAGAATATATAGAAACATCACATACTGCTTCATCTTATTACGTGAGGCAAACAACAGATCAAAGTATAGATCGATCGTTTGGAGCCGGTAATACATCTTTGTCACTTCCCACTGTTACATTAACTTCATCAGAAATATCAATAGATAAAACTTTAACAAGCTATGTAATAAAAAGCAGTTCACCGAATTTAAGTCCAAGCACTTATTTCAATAGCGTAAGCACAGTTGATGGGAAATCGAACGGGTCAATTTTTGTAACATCAAGTTACAGTCAAGTTTACCTTTCTCCGAATAGATCGAGTGTGATGAATTTTACAATGTATACTACCTCAGAGTTTACACTAGTGAGCACACATGTGACAGAGGTTTCTTCACTTTCTGTTCTTTCTGATTCAACTACTAGATCGCAAGTCACAACAACTATCTTTCCAGATAATCTTTTGTCACAAGTAGAAAGCACCTTAGTGTCCAATCAACCAAGTATTTCCGCTTCTTCTTTAGAACAAAGCAGTAGTTTTTCTTTACTGTCTACGTCAACAAAAAGCGGTACAATCTACAAGACTGATTTTCTGATTTTGTTAAGCACTTCAGTAGACTCACATAGTTTGTCAACATCACTGTATCATCTATCAACAATACAGAGCGGTACCATCGATACATCATCAGCAACTATTAGACATGAGAGTAGTTTATCTCCTTCATTTTCACATGTCAGTTTCTACACTGAATCATTCACGCAGAGTTCTATTCATCCCATCGATTATACGTCACAATTTCCAAGTATGAGTACCTTGTTGCATTCATCTACGACACCAAGTGTTCACACTGATATAACAAGCTATTTAACGACTTTAAACAATCTCACATCTGATGTTGTATCAAGGAGTAGTTTAGAAATAGCAACACAAGTTAGATCAAGCACTGTAAAAACATTAGAAAATATATCGACGACATCTCATTTGCAATCCAAATTGACAATTTCAGGACTTTTGTCAGAGTCATCCCAGACAGATACTGCAATACATTCCACCAGTGAACCTGCTGCAACAAGTACTCAGATAACCTCTTCTCAGACATTATCGTCGGCAATGCCAAATGACTCGCGTACTTTATCTAGCTATGTGACATCATTCATACCATCATTTTTCCAAAATAAAACGTTGTCATCCGATATGCAAATAGAAACCAGCTCTTCATCAATTTTAATTACTTCAGTGCCATTAACATCAACATTTGTAAGTATATTTACCTTAGGAAGCTCTACATTTTTACCTGATGCAACAACTAAAGTACCAATAACAAATTCACGACCCTTATTAACTTCATCAAATATGTTGAAGTCATCATCAGCTTTTTCAACACAATGGTCAGAAAAAGGACCAGGGTCTTCATCATCTTCATCAAGTAAAGAAAACTTGTTTACATTAACGCCTTTACTATCGGCATCCAGTTCCGCTATGAACACGATGCCAGTCTCTAGCTTTGGTTCATCACTTACCAAACAATTCACTGACACTGAAAATATTCGTACTTCCGGAATAACAATATCTGCACCGAGAACGCTTTCAGCCCACACACCAACGTCGACAACAACATATTCATCAGTGCCATTTGCATCTTCTGTGTCGACTTCTTTATCTGAATTCACTTCGATACCAACTTTAATATCGACGCCTGTTTCGTCTATGATGATAAATCATGCGTCAACGTCTTTATCGACTTCATTTTCTATGCCGACACCCTTAACGCCGTCGATACCATTTTCTGTGCCGAGTTCTTTATCGACAACGATGTATACATCGACTTTTCCATCAGCTTCTGTATCGACAACAGGGTCCTTTTCAGCGTCAAAATCATTTTCTGTATTTACGTCTTCTTCAGTTTACATACCAGGTTCTGAATCAACGTCTTTATCAACTTCGATATCAGTTGATGCAATTACTCCTTTATCAGCTTTTCTACAAAGTTCTGAATCAACGTCTTTATCAACTTCGATATCAGTTGATGCAATTACTCCTTCATCAGCTTTTCTACAAAGTTCTGAATCAACGCCTTTATCAACTTCGATATCAGTTGATGCAATAACTTCTTCGTCAGCTTTTCTACAAAGTTCTGAATCAACGTCTTTATCAACTTCGATACAAATGTCTGAATTAATGTCTTCTTCAGCTAACATACCGATATCTGAATCAACGTCATTATCAACTTCGATATCAGTTAATACATCAACGCCTTCGTCAGCTTTCATACAAATTTCTGAATCAACGTCTATATCAACTTCGATATCAGTTAATTCATCACCGTCTTCGTCAGATTCGATACTTATTTCTAAGTCAACACTTTCATCGGCTTCGATTCCATTTTTCGTATCATCTCCTATATCAAGTTCTGAATCAACACCTGTTTTCACTTTGATGTCAAGTTCTAAATCAACTTTTCAATTTCAATCAAGTTATTCAACAAAGATGCTATCGTTTACAACATCATTAGATCGTTCGCAAGCTGTTTTAACTACATCAAATTTTACAACGATTCAAACATCAACATCGACATTGAGCTCACAATTCTCGTCCCCTGTATCACTAATGACGTCATCTTCGGACATGATCTTAACAACTCGTAAAATATCGCCCTTAGAACCATCCTCAACTATCCAAACTTCATCCGAATCGATGGAAGTATTGCCGTCAACATTAACAATGTCTTCAATGTCATCAGAGATTTCGACAACACATATAAGTGACTCATTTGTCACGGAAATCAAATCAACACCAGTGTATTCAAATGAAACATCTATCTCAAAAACATATTCGTTGTCCGCAAGCTCCCCTTTAGTAATATCTCTAATAAATGAATCAACAATTTTTATATCAACATCGGCATCCTCAACGGCACCAGTTTCATTCAATTTTGTCTCGGTTTCTATGACTTCTGTTACAAGTAGCGTTCTTGTGGTAACAAGCAGTTTAATCCTAACAACAACGTCACAACCACCTGAACAAACAACTGTAAATGCTACAAATGCGAAAGAATCAAACTGGGCGAGAACTGGTGAGTGTTTCCTTTCTTTTAATTTGATCTTATTTTATATAAAATATGACAAATACTAAGTCAAATGTATCTGTACGCGAATTATTAGTTTAATTGTTGTGTTTTATGAGTGTTTCAAAGTGTACAATCTTGAATGAGTGATTAATATCTTAAATGATTGTATTTATATTGCTTTTGCTATTTTCTTATCTTGTATAATAAAAAATCTCATTTCTTTTTATTTTTGTTGACAACAGTGTTAAAGATTCAACGCTATATAAACATATCGGACCCTAGTTTTGTGAGAGATCTTGAAGGAAGACTTGCGGAGGCCTTCAACGAGGCGTTTATACGTCAGAAACTTATAAAAGAAGGGAAGTTTGAACCGCTACAAAAAAGACGTCGTAAGAAGAGATTTACAAGTGTAGGAGATGCGTCAGTTCACGTAAGTTGTAAAAAAACATCATACATAAAAATTAGGTCATGAATTGTAAATAACGTCACAAACATTTGAAGACGCCCTTAATCTTACGTGTATTTTTCGTAATGTAGTGTTAAATATTAACTGTTTTTCTACTAAAATAAATGTTGATTCTCTTATTTGAAAAATAATTCACAACCTTATTAAATAGGGATAATTCAAGTACATGTATATTAATTAATAAATTTGATGACGTATTAGATACATGACGTCAGCCGTGTGGAGGATACGACGAAGGTGACAGCAGTATATGCTGTCGAGAGGACAGACAAGGTTCTAACAGCCGAGGAAGCTGTTACTGCATTAGATGTCCTTGATAAACAAGAACTGGCAATCATTCTGAAACAAGTGGTAGATGTTAAAGCAGAGCGTAAGTAAATGTTTGTTGTCAGATAATCAACAAATATTGCAGTTTTGTAGAGGTGTATTTGAGTTCAATAAAGCGGTCTATGATTTTCATGTAGGCATGTTTAAAACTCAACGAACTTATGAACTCAAAAGGAATAGACCATGTGCGAACAAGATTATATAACGATGATTAATAATATTAACACAATTTTATGCTATATTGATAGAATCTAAAGAGAGCTGTCTTAAAACTTACTAAAACTAACTTTGCTAAGGCAAGAATACATTCCATTTATACCGTTTCTGCTCAATAAATCCGTTATACGTGTTTTATATATACCTCATTTAAATGTGTTTAAAGTTATATAACTGAAGAAATAAACTATGAAATATTTAAAACATTTTTAATAACGTTGTTTTGTATTAATTAATTTACGTGATCTTTACATTTTTAAAGTTTCCCTTACAAAATATTTAAATAATTGCAATGATAATTTTGCACATGCGCTACGAGCTCTATCGGAAAAATACAAACATTTTACTTTCATTATGGGGACTCTGGTCTAGTCAGTTACATGTACTTACAACTAATTTAACTCAAATTTGCTTTATACCATTTAAAGCAGCATGCCTCCAGATTTATGTTAATTGTCATGATTAAAAAAAAATCAAACAAAAAAACTGTATTTGGAAAATCTGAATATTGTCAAGTGAACAAAAAAAAATGAATGGTTGCCAATTTATAAACAGCACTAAAATTGCCTCGCGTCGAAAAGATTGATTAAAAAGATAGTATGAAACTGGACACTTCGGCGAAAAATAGAGGCCCGGTACTGCGTAAGTAACGCGGATATGACATATGGTGAGTATAATACATGCACCAAAAATTCTCAGTAATTATTGCATATAACATTTAAAGTATTTCTTGAATTGTGAATACCGTTACTTTTCTGAAAATCTTAGTACATGTATCTCAAGGTTGATTTTCTTGAAATAATTTGGCTCCCCCTGGAGGCAAGCTGCTTGAGCGTGAAAACACAATTTCAAAATTTATGTGTTAACGATTATTTAAATCTTCTTTTTCATTCTTTTTCATTTGAAAATATTCTTTTTTTGGATATCGTATTTAGCATATACTCAAGCTGAGACGCCCTCTGAACCGGAAGACGAAACTTCCCAATTGTTGCTGTATGGAGCTATTGCCGGCGGTGTCGGCGGGACCATAATACTTATATGGATCATTGTTTGTATATACTGTAAATGCTGTCGGCAAAAAAGCACAGAGGAGGATGCCGAGCCAGAACTTACCTCTATACAGCCTCAGTCGTCTAAAAGCAAGGTAAGCCAGAGCATAACTTGTCTGCCTCTCAACCAAAGGGTCGTAGTTTCGTGCCGTTCTAGGGTTATAACCATATTTCCAGGAAACGAACTCAATGATGTTTCAAAATATGTGCAAAATGTCTTTGCAATCTTATTCAAAAAGATTATCATCTAAATCTTAAAAGTAAGATATTTTTATTTACATAGGCACACCAAAGTTTTTAAATATCACACATATAAAGATTTTTGAAATTCTCAGATTAACTTATAACGTATCCGCCCTCAGTAATATTTTGACTAATATCGCTTTAGCGTGACAGTCAAATTAAGATATTTGCAAAAATTTCAGTACACAAATGCTGTATAATTTGATATTCTATGACCTTTTTGTTGTCGGAAACTGTTTCATCACTATAAAATGATTAATAACCCTAATTGTCTGACGAATCCAAAGTCTCTGTGAGGATTCAAACCCATACAGTCGAAGGCTTGTGGGGTTGAAGTCAAAGACCTTAAGCACTCGGCCGCAGACCCCATTGTCTGCGGTTATATTAAATGATATTGCTGTGACTTTTTAAGGATAACCCTTAATCATGCATTTACTTTTAACCGTATGTGGAATATATTCATAATAGTTCATAATGTTTTTATTGTTACAATCGGATATATTTTGTTTAGCAAAAACATGTAAAGCTATCCACCACTTAACCTATCGACTTGGCAGATTCAGTTTGATTGAAAGTTTAATAAGTTATCGCATTTCTGCCAGACGTTTATCAATTAGGAAGTAAAGCACAGCTGTAGGCACTAATTAAACTCTGACATCATACCGTCCCATCTGATTAGTATCTGTATACAAGGGAAACAACTGTGACAGTAATTTATTCACACTTTTAATCACATTTGTTTCCCTTTGTATACATACATTGTAATAATTATTTAATAAAGCAGTGAGTGCTTACTTTGCTTATGGCGAAGTTAACTCTCAATCGCAACTTTTCGTCAACCTTCGGAAAAGGACCCCGAACGCAGAAATGTCAACTTTGATCTTCTCTTGTAAACAAATAGTAGGCACACGTTGGGAGTAGTTGACTAAGTTAATTCCATTATATCGTGTAAAAGTCTACCTTAAATAAATAAATTTAGAGATATAAAAGTAAGCTGTACGCTAGTTATATAAATGTTATTATAATTATGATTAAAATATTGTTATTATGATTGTTCCAATGTTTACCTATGGACGATATTTCGGATTTGGTTATAATTGTAATTGTTATTATTTGTATAACTATTTTCGTAGAGGTGATCCGATTGGCCAAATCTTAGAATAACCACAGAGCTTGTATTATAAGTATCTGCTATAACAGGTAATATGCCGGAATTCGCCGAACTTTCGCCAAAGAAATTATCAACATTTATCAAAATGTACACCATTAATTTTTTCTAAGAAAACATATTTTGATAGTTTCCATGGTTATCATCAAACAACACAAACCCATTTTTAAAAATGTCCCTTCTCTCAGCAAGTACTTCTCAAAATCATTATCGTCGGAACTGAAAGGTCAAATGTCTCTTTAATCATTTAAACCAATCAAAATGTTTATAAATTATGTTTATTTCTGGGTGTTAGCTTAATAAATGTCACATAATACCGACTTTTGAAAAGCCATATATTACGAATCAAGAGATTGAACGCTGATTTACGATTCTAATCTGATAATGAAGAAATAAATAATGTTAATACACTTGAAGTCTATTTTGAATAAATTAAGAAACAAAAGATTTTATGTTGCGATATCATTTCCCCCCAACCGTCAATTTTTCAAAACATTCATAATAAAAGTGGTCACATAAATTTTCCCGCCAAACTAATAGACAACGCCAAACCGATGAAACTTCCAAAATATATTACGATAATCATTTATGTCAGATGATTAGAAACGAAACATATGACATGAACAAATCAGAATACAATGATTCATGAATAATTGAGTCTGACTCAGAGGAAAACTATTCTACAAACCAATTTTGTCACAAAGCGGCCCTTCATTAAAATTTATGCAGCGTCCGAATCCAATTTGATCCCATAGTGTTTTTATTTTACTGTAGTGAACAGTAGGAAATGTTTTAGGAATATCTAACATTTCTTTATTTCAGACGTGCGTGCTTATTGTAATTTTGATTGAAATTACGCCATGCATTTAGATTAATATGACATGTAAATTCACAGAAGGCTGTTTTTTGTATTGATATTAACTTGGACTTACGTCATTTTAACTCCCATATATTAATAAATTTCTAACAGTACATGTATACTGTTTCTTCTTTATCGTCATTTTAAAGCTGCATACCTCCAGATGAACCAACATTTTACAAGAAAATCATGTACAAAAACATTAAAAAATACAAAGATTCACAATTCAAGTAATAATGTACATGTTGTGTGCGATTAATGATTTATTTTGGAGTATTTACCACTATAATAAGAGCTATTTTTGCATATTTTGATCTCTTTTTGGTAATTTACATGCATGGATTGTAAGTGATGTTTGCAATGTGTAAATAACTTTCTTTGTTCGGCTCGTATATATCAATTATTATGTTTACTTTTTTTGATACATTTTCTTAATTTTCATACAAATTAGTATGAATCTGGATGCATGCTACTTTCAGCTTTACTTTTTTCTTTTATCTCTCACAGGAGTCAGTAGTTAACTTTCTATGTTCGGCTCATATATATTAATTAATATTTTTACTTTTTGATACATTTTCATAATTTTTATGCAAATTAGTATGAATCTGGAGGCATGCTACTTTAATCTTTATTTTTCGTTACTCAGGACTCTGTAGTGAAACCTTTAACCGTCACACCTAAGCAGAAAACGCTAGTTCCGCAGGGAAGTAAGTTCAGTTTAAGGAAAGGTCGGACTTACGAAATAAATGATGGATTTGTGACGGACGAAAAAGCAGATGAGCAGACTTTGTTAAAATCGCCAAGAAAGAAAAAGTTAGAAACCCCCGAGTCACCGTATGTTATCGCTATAATTTGTAATTTTTCTTTGGTTTGGTTTAACATTACACCTACAAAATGGCGCCTTTTCAGCTTTAATGATGCAGGAAATCCCGGATTTTCCCTCCTTGCACTGCGGGCACCAAATTTGTATTCATTTTATCGTTTTAAATCATAGATAGTGTACAATTTTAAAGTGAAATTATAATTTTATTAAAAAGTATAAACAGACTAAGGTTTTTTTCCTTTATAGTGCTTAAAAAAGAATTTCAAAATTCGTACCGTACATGAACCAATGAACCAAATATATAAGAATTCCAGAGACAGTTATCAGGATTTGTAACATAAACAACCAAAGTATGTAGAAGCGCAATCAACGCATAATTATTTAAAAGATTTTTTTTGTCTATTTTTTCAGATACCATGGATCATCGTCTGGTACCCCTGTCATACCTAAAAAGGAATTGGTTCCGCCGGCGGTAAAGAAGGGAAGACGTAACAGCAAGAATAGCATAGGTAAATGTAGATATATTTATTTTTGATATATTTGATATTGATATATTTCATTATTTACCCCCTTTGAATTCTTACGACGATAATAATTTGTTTATGCTACTAGACAAGAGTCAGACAGAGTTCTCTATTGTTTCCTGTTTATTTTTAGCATTTTGATACTAAAACCTATCACCGTACTAATAACTTATTCCAAGCCCAAAGCATGGCAAGTAATGGTATATAATACTAATTGGAATGTTTTATGGTGCGCTCCAATATCAAAAGCGTAATATCTAAACAGGATTTTATGAAATGCAACGTTTATTCCTTTCTTTCTTTCTTATCAAATGTTTCATGTTTTGTTACAGGTCCTACTACGGAAGGTTTTGAGAACGAAATTATGAAATTTAATTCACCAAGAAACGACAGAAGTCAGATGTTCCAGTCTAGCATATCTGAGGTACGAAAGGGAATGTATTACAGAATTAAAATAATTGACATTAACCCTTCATTTGGATAAGGATAATTATCAATACCTTCATGTTTCCAAATATTTCATCTTGAAATCTGCGTCACTTGATTTGATAAGCCGTTTAAATATATTTCATTTTTAACGTATGCTTCCTTAAAATCTTTTATTTACTAACGAGTCACTTGAACCTTTGATAGTATTGTTTTTTTATCATTTCGAATGGATCACTTGTTGTGATACAGGTTCCATAACCTCTGACCTCCTTTCTAAATTCTATTTGTTTAGTTCCGGTCATTGCTTTGTAGTCTAGGGCAAGCGCTTTCTATTACTTGGGGACCATAAGCCACTTTTCATGGAATGGCACGAAAATGTTGCATTAAGAATACCATTATAACCGCCGTATGAACATATCTGCGGATGTTTCTAAATTCAAAAATTTTCATGTTTAAATTAAGCCGGTGCTAAGGGACGTGAAAGGTAGTTTGCACCTGACAGTACTGTCCATGGACAGGCTGAATAATACCGAGCCTGCAACATTTTCAATTCTGTTGTTTTGGACTTTCTTTAGGGATTCCTTTTTGCTCTATTTTATCATTTCCGAGGGATCATTCCTTTGCGAGATTTGTTTTACTCACAAAATATTTCTAAACTCTGTAATTGATTGAATATAAAAATATACATCATGATCAAGATCAATGACTTTTATTTTTTCGCTTCAATAGGACAGCGAAGACACAAAACTGCAACTAAAATCAGAGAGGAAGAAAAATAAGGAAAGGATGGCCGAGAAATATGGCCCAGAACTAGGTACTGACACTGCTTTTGTTGTTGTAAATTTTAGGTTTAACATAATTTTTTTTTATCTCGATAAAAAGTGAATGCTTAATTACCAGAAAATTAGCACATCCATGCCATCTCTTCATAATTAGTAAAGTGTTTTTATTTTTTCTCCGAACTTGAAAAAAAATATATTCAACATCATCATTTTTTCCTCCGAACAATTGATAACTAGTCTATAGTCTTCGTGCAGATTAAATTTTATATTGATATATTTTACTTTTTTAAACTTCAGAAGCTAAACTGACAAGGAGGGAACAGCCGAAAACGGAAAGCAATATTCTTGGAATGCCTAACACCACTGTTCCAAGTTTTATTATTGAAAGGTACTTCATAACTTTACAACTATCATATCTATATTAGGGATATTGGTCCTTCTTACGTTTGCCTCCCTTTTAATTAAACACGTTCAGAATAAATGTTGCTTTTATTTTCCTTTGAATTCGATTTCTTTTTTGCAAAATAAGCAATATTTTAACCTAGATAGTCGTATATGTTCAGCTATCAGAAGCAAGTTCGTTGAAACAGTTTGCGAGACGAGTAGTAAATCCCGGCAGTAAGTCAGATTTTATTGCAAAAAAACCCTGTCTTCACTGTCTATCAATCAGAATATTTTAGTTAAGGCCACACTTATTGTTTAATTTGCTTAGTATTACGTTTAAAAAGCCCTGTCCCCTGGATCGTAGCTATTTTTTTAACAATTTTTTAGAACAACGCTTTCATCATATTTATAACAGATTGCAAATACCACATGATTCAAATTGTTGATTTATGTTTTCGTTTAATCACTTATAGTGCAGATTAAATGTATCCAAAAGTGCATATTTTGGATCATGTTCAGATATGTAATTCGTAAATGTCCAAATTATCGACTTTGAGTCAGTTGTGTAATGTTTTATTTATAGGTACACTTGTTTTGTCGAAATGCAAGATAAAGTCTCCAGGAATATTTGCATGTTTTCTCAATCCCCTTAATCTTTTTTGCCATGTTTGTAAATTGTGATGTTAAGCCCGGACAAAACAGACAACAAAATGAGACGGCCTTATTTTACGAAATATAAAATGTACAGTAGAATGAATAAATAAACAAAGGCACCAATAATGAGGTCATTAATTGAGGTATAAAGTTTGATATAAAAAACAACATCAAAAGAAATAATAATTTAAAAGACTCCTAAAAAAACTTTGCACTACGGTGATATGTTACATTTGGTTGCGCCCTGATTTTGTAAATTGGCTAACCTCTGTAATAGCTTTCTGTTGTTAAAATGCATAACTAAGAATTCATAAAAGATATTCAGCCGGTTGCTTTTGGAGTTTTATATCTGCCAATTACATATCAACAGGAAAGATAATGTAGACAGCAAGTAAATGAACAAATATGATGAGAATATAATGGATTATCTAACCGTGGTCTTTTATTTTTTATACGAAAGTAAAAATTATGATGTATATCAACCATGGAACCGAAACCGAATATTTTTCCCGAAATTAAAGTGAAAAAGCCATTGAAAAAGTCAGAGACGTTTCCAAAAAGCTTTCAAGAGGTATTACAATTGGTTGGAAGGCTACATGGTGTAGATATAACAGATAAAACCACAGAAGAATGTGTGTTTTCAAACCCCGAAACTGTGATTTCCAGAGACGCTACCAAGTCAAAGGAATTTGTAAGACAAATCAGAGCAAAGCCGTCAACGAGAAGAACAATTTCTCTGGACCTTTCCAAAGATAAAAGTCACGGACAGAAAAACGTCTGGGAAAGAAGGGCGTCTTTTCAGTTTCAGCTTAATGATAAAATAATTGATGAAATAATTCCAAATTTAGGACACGGAACTTTGTATAACACAAAATCGGGAGAGCCTTTATCGGAAACTATAAATAGGAACCTCCAACAAAGATGGACCGAACCCACTGTGGATTCTGTTTCAGAGTTTAAAGTGGAAAGCGATGACAGTAACAGTTTAAGTCAGAGTAACAAACAGGATGATGAACTGTCTGTTGACTTAAATTACTTGTTTGTGAATTCACATGATCTGGGAACACCAAACAGTCTTTGTTCTCTGTCTTTAAATAATTGTTCACTTGAAAGGTAACACGACCAATGGGATTTATATAGATTGATGATTTGTCCCCCATACCCTTAGATTAAATTAGTTTATTCTTTTTTGAATAATCATGATGCCATGATCCAGGGTTGGTTGCGTTGAAACATATAGGAAGAAAAATGTATGACATAACATTTTATAATACTGCACGTTTGTAACGTCATTTTTCATTGGATAATCGTGACGTTTATATAGTTTTATATACACGGCTGCTGTCTATTCATGAAGAAATCTTACTTTTTTCTCTAAAAATGATGCTTGCTGTATTATAAATTCGTTATAAAGATTGTTGACAGGTTATATGGCCGTATATAAACGGCTACTTGCAATATAACCCTCGCCTAACGGCTCGGGTTATATTTACAAATAGCCGTTTATATAGGGCCATATAACATGTCAACGATCTTTATAACTAATAATATAAACGTGGATAAAATGTTTCTTAAAGAGAATTCAAAAGATAAAAAAATTAAGACACATTAGACCAACAAGTTTTGACAAGTTTTGATAAAAATTTCGAACGTTTTATGAACTTTCTTGTATCTTGGTTAAGTATGTACATTATCTGTTTATTGTATGATTCTCTCACATATTTTTCAGTGGAAGTCCTGTAAGAGGATCTATACCACTGTCAACAAAACAATCAGTAAGTTGCTGTTTTTCATTCTTAGATATATTTAACATCAACCACGTAACTATCCTTCCTCTGTTAGGATTGAGTTTAAAAAACAACTTGATTTGTTGTTTTCATATTTTGAAAATTCCTTGCATGTTTCTAGAATGCTTAAAATCGATAACTTGTATCAATGGGTGTTTCATATGTTAAGCAAGAGTTAAAATCGCCACTAAACTTTTTTTTCCTTTTTGTTTGTTTCCATTACTCTTGTGTAATTTCCTCCTTTGTATTTGTTTTTTCTACATTTCTTAACGATATCTGTCTATATATTAAAAGTATGTGTCCAAAATTACAGAAGTTCTCTCTCAGTGTTTTTCAATTCTGTATCAGTTTCGATCTGGATTTTCACGATTCTTAAAAGGCTCATTATATTCCAACCTTAGCTGAATGATTACTTGTTTCCACCAGTGAAGAATCAGTTCAGCATACAAGACTGTGCAGTCTGACCAGGTTCTATGAACTGTTGTCTGACCAACTTTCATCTTGATTTATCTAAAATTGATAAAAAAACTATATTTAGTTAGGTGAGGATTAATTGTTTCATCTGACTTACTTTATACTTGTTTAATGGTTTCATATAACGTGTGTTTAGGATGGAAACACATCAGCAGATGAAAACCTTGAAGTAGCCAGAAATAGGATGCATAAGCTCCTTGATGAGGCGTTTTCCTTGATCTCTCCAAGAAATTCTTTAACAGAAAATGACCTTAGGTAAGCATAATTTTTATCTCTTTGTGCTTTGCATTGTAAAAGCTTTAAACATTGTAAAGAATTGTAAATAAATCAATCTAAATGTTATCTTGTTCCATTTCTTTTACGTATGTTGAACAATACGCTATGACATTATGAAACAGTTACATTGTGTAAGTTAATGATAAATAATTCAATTTTACATTGTAAAAAGAGCTTTATATAGATCTATCTAAAACAGCATCATTGTAGCAAATGTAAGTTTTAAAAGTTAGATGCATATGCAGCCCATTTTATTGACAACAGCAAGTATATAATTAATTAGTATTATAAATAGTTTCGTGCAATGTTTTATCAGTTATAATCGAATTTCCATTTTAAATTAGTCGCTATTCACTCAAGGACGTGAATATTGCATATAAAGAAAAGTATCATTTGTTGAAATAGATGTCCCATTTGTTTCTCTCTTTCATTAGATTGTCGTTAGTAATTTAGGTTTTGGAACATTGTATTATCAATCGCCCCTTTCCAAGAAGCGTCTATTTTACAATATAAATCTTTAAGAATTTTGCCTTTACTTATGAACTTAACGTCACTTTTCATGGAATGGCACGAAAGTGTCACATTGACGTTTCCATGATCGACGACATTTGAACACATGTGCGGATACATCTAAAATATCAGTTTCACGATAGCTTGTTTAAATGTTGAATTATGTTGAAACCGGTGCGGGGGGGGGGGGGGAGCGTAGACAGTAGCTTGGATTTACCACTTCTGTCCATGAATATGCTCAATCAAAACCAAGCTTGCGTAATTTTCATTTTTGCCGTTTTGGACATTAAGGGATTCCGATTTTTTCCTTTTTTTAAATGTTCCGTTCATAACTTTCCAAGCCGGCCGAAGACGAAACTGTTTGTTTTTATAAATACTTTCTAATCATGTATTCTTTTATCACGTTACATCAGCGTTATCCGAGACGTTCAGGAAATTGCTGAAAGGTGATAATGTGTAGCTTATATAATTGAGTCACGCTTATAAATACATGTATATCCCTGCCACTCACAAAATATATTGTATGTAAGGGAAAAGGGCACTTTATGTCGAAGCAGCTTTTTGTAATATCCGTTGTTTAATTGATACTTGTCCATTTCATTGTTTAATTGATACTTGGTCAGTTGGCTGTTTAATTGGTACTTGTTCAGTTAGCCTTTTCAAATTAAAGGTTTAATGGTATTGATAATTTGATATGATAACACGATTGAAGGTTTCAGATGTATAATTGAAATGTTTCAATAGTCATTTAAAACTTTACATTGCTATTTTTTTTATATTATTCTTGACAAATGAATTACCATGCGTATTTAAATTAAGCTAACCTTAAAACTCTTATACCTACTATATAGTTATCTGAAAAACAAAGTTGCTAATAAGGTTTGCCTTCTGATTTATGTCAAAGACACCTATATGCCACTGTTTTCAATAAATTCAATACAAATAATTTCCTGTTGTAGCAAACAGGCAGCGACGAATCAAACAAAGCCACTGGCTGAGAAGTCTAAAGGAAGCAAATCTTCATCGTGAGCTTTTATGTTCTTTATGTTTCTTTCTTTCTTTCTTTCTTTCTTTCTTTCTTTCTTTCTTTCTTTCTTTCTTTCTTATCACGGCAATGTAAGGTGAAATGTAATTAATAAGAAAATCGAAATGTATATGACATATATTATTAAAAAAATCTAAGGCTAAGAAAGAAATCTATTCTAAAGATCTGATGAACATAACTGACTATGACCTTTTGAGTTAAGAAAGTTAGAAAAAGAAACGAAAGTTTATTCGTCTTGTTTCGCATATGATATAATAGTGCTGTGCGTGTTAATCAGTCATTTGATTTCTTCTATTATATTAATTTTATCTTTTATCATTTTTTTCTTAGGCACGTTGTGGATGTCAATAAAGGTACGAATTAAAATTTATTTCAAACAGAATAATATATTGAAATAATTATCTGGTTCCAAGGACAGGTTCAGTCAAATTGAGCGTTTTCGGTGTTCTTTCATGATTCCTCTTGTGCTCTAATTATTATTATTACTATTATAGTCGGCGCTTTTTCTTTTTAGCTCAAATCAAATTTTTCTGAAATTTCTTATGTAGTACTTACTTTCAAACCTTGAATAATAGTTCCTTGAAATCTATAACATACGATTTTACCTGTATCTTTATGTGTTCATTGTAATTTGATACGTTATATACGAATCATATGGATATTAACATATAACATATTATTTTTTTAGCTATGGAGACATTGAAAGGTTTCACTAACCCGGGTTATACAAGTTCCTATAGTGAGTTCTTGGAGACATGGAGCCCATACAGGTCGTCCGACCAGGTGGCGCTAATATCCATGCCACATAAACCGGTAAGTTCGAAATTTGTAGGGAATACATGAAAAAAGTGTCAAATGGCAATTTTGCATTTAAGAATTATATCAATAAAGTGCATGGACCTTATTATTAAACTTTATTATTCATAAATATGTATTGCTTTATGATAGGATTTTGAAATAGATTAAAACTGTTAGAGTCAATTTTATGCCTAAAGTGACACTATGCCCACCTAAGAGTATATCATTATTGAACAGATGGAAGTAAAAATAAATTAATATTTTGACCTAATTCCTTTTCAATTTTGTAATTTACATCACATGACCGAGAAATTACTCACGTGGTCTAAGGAAATTTCTATAAATATCCACCAGAATTAACCTGACGGTAGCATTCAGTCTATAAAAAGAGTGGGGCAGTTTTTCATATTTAAGGCAGAATCATATCTTAACCAAAAACATTTTCCAATATCATCTAAATCACATTGACAACGAAAAAATGGGCATAATGTCATTATAAGCATAAAATTTCGTTACATTAATGATTTGCAACGCTTTGTGCCACAGTCTGCAGTTTTACATAATTAATAAGAAAGTACAGTACATCTTAAAATCACTTTTTGAAAAATCCTTGTATATTTTTGTCGTAAAGTTCATAGGTCACGCCCAGTATAACAGACTATAGCCTTATTAACCTAACTGATATTTCATATACTCATATTAGATTGTCACGTGGACTAAATGCGATGATTTGGTTAATACCTACCAAACGTTTGAAAGTTCTTTTTCCTTAAAGGTCCATTATGCCTTTTCTATTTCCCGAACGCTTTTTAATTTTGGTACTCTTTAATAGTACCTAAAATTTACTCACTAGCCAATTACCCGATCCACCTTTTTTCATGTGTTGCTTTTTGGCAGTAAGTACAATTATAGTGAATTATAAATATAGGATTTTTTTTCATTTAGTGGTATGAAAATAATATTTCACGAGTGGCCGCAGCCATAAGTAAATATGGTAATTTTCATATCACAAGATGAAAATAAATCCTGTATTAATAGAAAATACTTGATTTTTCTGTTTATTACATACTTTTTCTCTTTTTTAACCTTATAAATTAGAAGAATTCCCTCTAATTTTGTGTATTGGCTGAATTTAGAAGTAGTCCAGCAAGACACCGTGAAAATACGGAAAATATGTTTCACTGCAGTGAAAAATATTTCTTTTACAGTGAAATTCGGAAAAAACTCATTTTATTACATCAATATTTCTCAATATTTCATTTATAAGTACATGTATATAATAAATGATATTATATCATCAAATAAACGAAATATATGGATGATAATAAATTACAGCATGCCTTTCAGAGTCACTGATATACCACTGAAAAAAATATATCTACTAATCATTTATCTTAAATATGTATATTCTTGCGGTTAAGATCAAAGTAAATGTAAATGTCACAAACGTGCACAATTGATTGATGAAGCAGGAAAAGGGTTTTAAATAAAACAAAAATTAGTTTTACTTTTCTTAAAGGAACTTCACTGGGGACAAAAAGTCTTAAATATAAAATTAGAAATACTTACTTAGATCATCTTGGGCACATAAAACAGAATGATATGCAAAAAGAAAATTAAAAATTGTACTAAAAGCTCAAAAAAATCTTTATTTGTGCTTTTTTTAGTCAGATTTGAGTGAAAAGCGTTTTCATTTTTTTTTGGTCATTTTTCAAAATTTGAATACTTTTTACAAATGTTTGGTATGAACCTTCATCAAGTGTAACATTTATCTCGAAAATATATTTCCACACCCGTCTAGTCAAAGAAAAAAAAAAAAAAAAAAAAAACCTCAGTGGAGTCCCTTTAAGTATTCAGAGTTTTGCCCATATATAATATTTGCTTGCTGAATAAAACAATAGAAAGAGAAACACCAGCCGGTCTGTCTATGATTTATTAATGAAACATTGACAAATCAATGCTATCGTACACTAAAATCTAGAATAGAAAGTTTGCCTACGTCTTAATTAATTATTTAAATATATATTCTGCATCATTTATCATATAAACATAACGTTAAAAATAATCAAATTGTGAATCTCAAAGGTCGTCGAACTCACAAATTTTTGGTTTCTGTTCATTTTTGGGTTTTGGGTAATACAAAATTTTAAGCCCCCCCTTTCCCCAACCCGGTTTAAAAATAAAAAAGAAAAAGAAGTTTCATTTTTTTTTAAATTTATTTTTTTTTTACCAAGTTGTTTTTTTTTTTTTTTTTTTTTTTTTTTTTTTTTTTTTTTTTTTTTTTTTTTTTTTTTTTTTTTTTTTTTTTTTTTTTTTTTTTTTTTTTTTTTTTTTTTTTTATCTCATTGTATCGTTTGGCGGGATAATGTTCGTTTGGTCTGATTGGAGTGTTTGTTATTAAATTGTTAAAGTGGTTTCTCAATGACCTTTTCGGGACAGCCCTCGTATATAATCGATTATCGCAATCCAGGCTCGCTTTGTAATTACGATCAATATTCGTCTAAAATCGATCATTGTTAGAACACAAATAGATAAATTTCCCGCCAACGCACACCTTTTTCGTTTTTTTTATTAAGCTGTTTAACTCTTGCGGACCAATAATTTCTTGTTTAATCAATATAAAATCATTCAATCTTTAGAAAAAGTTTTCTAGTTTTGAAATTAATTAATTTTATATGTTTATAATTAATAATAAAATACATTGGCAATGCATAAAACAGTTGTTAAGCATTGGATTTTATTCTACAGAAGTTGTGATTCACTACCATGATGTCATTAACGATCATTATGTAATATACGTCACACATTTGCAATTTATATATTTTTTATGATAATGCCCATATATGGTTGTTAACCTACAGTTTAATTTCATTATAAATGATTAATGCTATAAGAATTTATAGCAGTTTCTTTTTGGAAAAAAATGCCCAGAAGGGAAAGCGTGCTTTATGTTGATGAAGTGCATTGAAATGTTTTCATAGAAATTAATATTCGTGTATTAATATAATAATTATGTATAATTTTCTGAATTAAAAGTTTATTGAACTTCACGCTGTATCATTTATAACGGCGGCACATAAGGATGAGATCTCTTAAAATAAATTGATTTATTTGCTATGACGTTTTCATCCCGATACTATTTCAATAGTTTTGTCTTATGTCATATGACAGATTGTCAAATCATCTTGACTGATAGCTAGAATATCTACATACTTGAACTATTTAAAAAACGCATGCCCTTTTTCAATTTGCACAAAATGTGCAACACTTTGAAAATCATTTTATTACATACTAAAAAGCTGAGTTAAAACCTCGACATTTTTTGGAAACTCTTATTCAATATATGAATGTAGATTACTCGCAAAACACGAATGCTTAAAAATGGTTCCTTATCTGAATTAAGATGTCTTATGAATTACAGGAACCAGCCGTTACAAGGTTGGGTAACAAGTCTGACAAACGCCTAATGACGTCATCCATTGCTGCAAATGGTTCCCGGAGACCTGCAGCCAACCTAGAAATCTCAAATATAAAGAGTATCAGTGAGGCACCAGAGACAGGCAAATATGCAACGACTTCCCCAAAGCCAATTGTGATACGAACAAAAGAAGATGCACCTAACTCAAGACTAGCATCTGCAAAATCTAATAGGATATCCAACGAATTACAAAACAATAGAAACTTTTCAGCAACTGCTCTTAATAGTGATATATTCAATCGCGGCAGCTCAACATCACTTAATAAACCAGAACCACAAGTAAGACAAACAAATGATTCTTTGGAGATGCAAACATTGAAGAGAAATCGAAAGAATTCAATCCGGTCTCAACGGGAGCCGGAGATAGACAATAGGAACAGAGAAGCAATTGATGTGATTAAAAACATTAAACCTGAAGAGGCGAATGATAAGTTATATAAAAGTTTAAAAGATGAGATTAAAGGAGTTGGTACGGCGGAGACAACTGAAGATGATATCAATAAAAAGCCTATAAGGAGAAGGAACCGCAAAGCCCATTCCAAACCAATGACTGATATAGTTTAGGAAATAGCATGGTGATCGTCTCATCTTGATACTGGAATTAATGTCTTTATGACAACGATGCGCTAATTAACGTCGATGTCATCTTGTGTACCGCATGTAAAATATTTTGCTGCACTGTATAAAAGTACGAATATCACAGGAGGTGTACTCAACTTGAACCTGTGTTTAGTTGAACATCGCGTCATGCCATATATTTTGGATGGGCAGATTTGCTTATCTTAGTGGAGTTGTACTCAACTTGGACCAGTGCTAAGTTGGGCAATGTGTTATGCCATATATAATAAATGAGCATATTTGCTTATCTAGAATTGAAGATAATGTATCAAAGAGTGTGTATGCTGTCTCTTTTAATATTTTGAAAAGTGCTTTTATCAGACATTACTTCAAACGCACAAGTTTTCTTTAAACCCATCTGCTTCAACAGGTTCAAGGTTGTCAATTTGAAGCAGAACATGAAGCAGAACATGAAGCTGAACATGAAGCCTTAATGAACTTAAACAAGCTTTTTATGGGCGTGAATTGTGTGAGACAGTCAATAAATAAAAGTGTTGAATTCTTCTTATGGTATTTTTCAATCTATTCCTTTGTAGTGTAGATATATGTTATGTTATAACATCATTGTGATATTCATGATAAATAAGATGAAGAGAAGAAAATATGTCTATAAAGACAAAAAATTGAAGAAATTAAAAATGTGATTTTCATATTTTTTAATGAGACGTACTTTTTCTTACTTTAAATTGAAATGATATATATATATATTCGTATCAACATTGTTTTAAGTTTGCCACATTTCATAAAAGTGTATATAGATTATTATCATATTTATGAATTAAAATTATTATTTCCAAATGCTTGTTTTATTGATTACAGATTATGCGTATAATGCACGAGAACAGTGTGTTGTTTTTAACCCTTTACCACATATATACGCGAAACAACGCACTTTCGACCCCCCCTTTTTTAGGCCTCAAATAGTGAAAAAATGTCCTATTTGGGCCCCAAACATAAGTTTTCGTTTGAGAAATGTTGCTTAAAAAATTGAGCACTTTTTCGGCGCCGCCCCCATCTAAAAGATACATCAGGGGGTTGCCAGAAGGGGGATGTGCCCCCTTCTGTTAGGGGGGTTTGAAGGGGGGCGGAGTCCCCCTCATCGCCAAGAAAATTTTGGACTTGTGAGAGGCTAAAAATGACCCCAGGTCGATCATAATGTAACGTTTAACCAACGCTGAAAAGCCTTTGACTCTATCTCAATCCCTTGAGTAGTTGCTGCACTTTGAAATAAATTTTGATGGAAAAAATCGAGGCAAAATAGTGATTTTTGGCAATTTTGAGATGTCCCCGTTGCCATGGTAACAGGAAATTTAAGACGGAGCATGTCGTTACAAAGGCAATGGTCCAGTCAACATTTGTGCCAAGTTTGATTAGTATTGGAGCATTTTCATAGTTTCATAGCAGTTTGAACTTGTAACAGGAGGCTTTTCAGTGAAAACGGCCATTTTTCACAATATGCTCATGGGGGAAAGGTTAACTAAAAAAATTTTAAATGTTACAAAACAACAATTTTTTCACCAAAATTAGGTGAAATACGACATGTTAACATGGAAAAACTAGTTTTTAGGTGATTCCAAAGTTTTTCATCATTTTTTGTTAACCCTTTACCACATATATACGCGAAACAACGCACTTTCGACCCCCCCTTTTTTAGGCCTCAAATAGTGAAAAAATGTCCTATTTGGGCCCCAAACATAAGTTTTCGTTTGAGAAATGTTGCTTAAAAAATAAAGCACTTTTTCGGCGCCGCCCCCCATCCAAAAGATACATCAGGGGGTTGCCAGAAGGGGGATGTGCCCCCTTCTGTTAGGGGGGTTTGAAGGGGGGCGGAGTCCCCCTCATCGCCAAGAAAATTTTGGACTTGTGAGAGGCTAAAAATGACCCCAGGTCGATCATAATGTAACGTTTAACCAACGCTGAAAAGTCTTTGACTCTATCTCAATCCCTTGAGTAGTTGCTGCACTTTGAAATAAATTTTGATGGAAAAAATCGAGGCAAAATAGTGATTTTTGGCAATTTTGAGATGTCCCCTCGTTGCCATGGTAACAGGAAATTTAAGACGGAGCATGTCGTTACAAAGGCAATGGTCCAGTCAACATTGTGCCAAGTTTGATTAGTATTGGAGCATTTTTCATAGTTTCATAGCAGTTTGAACTTGTAACAGGAGGCTTTTCAGTGAAAACGGCCATTTTTCACAATATGCTCATGGGGGAAAGGGTTAAAGAAAGCGCCGGAAAAGAGAGAAAACATAAATATTAAAGGGTTGTCCCTAAACATTCGACCAGCAATGCGTTTTCTCTTAATTCTTTTTATTTCTTACACCTTTTTTCTAGTTTGTCTTTATTGCTTTAACATTGTTAAAAATAAAGAGAATCCACACACAGAAAGGTGTTGAATGTTTTAAAATAAAGAGTTAAAGTATTGAAAGTTAAAGCGCATCATGCATGAGGACAGTGTGCTGATTCTTTTACAGAAAGCGCCGGAAACGATCATGGCTCATTAAAAAAAGACAACCTAAACGTGAAGGGTAGTCCCTAAAAAATTCGACATGCAATGCTTTTTCTCTCAATTTTTTTTTTAATTTCTTAACACATTTTCTCTAGTTTCTCTTTATTTCTTTTATAGCAGAGAATCTGAGTGTTAAATGTTTAAAAAATAAAGAGGACAAGTGTTGAATATTAAAGAAATTAAGAGAAAAATTGTTGAATGTTTAAGAAATAAAAAGAAATCTGAAGAAAAGTGTTGAATGTTTAAGAAATAAAGAGAAAAAAGTGTTGAATGTTAAACAAATAAAGAGAATCTAGAGAAAAGTCTCACTAGCCCACAATATTCTGAGTTTAAAGTGTATAATGCCATATCTCCGCTATCTTTAATTTTACATTTTGTATTTGAAGAATTCCAAAAAGGACTACATTTATGACAGAAATATGCTGGTATATGTTCATATGAGCGAATGTTGCATACACAAAATCATTGCTCAACGGTTTTAATCCTACTTTAAACAGCAGCAAAATATTTTGTTCCTGACCACCTTTTCTTGTTAACGTACAGTATTCATGTGTTACACAACTGAACCATACTATGTTAATACGTTTTCAATAATCTACCGTATCATTATGAAACAACATTATTTTACAATTTAAAAAAAATCATTAAATATAGCTTTATTCTCTTTTATCGCAGTCCTAATCTTTTATGGACATAAGAAACCAAATTTAGTATACAAAAATTGTAGGTGTCAATTTGAGAGATTATTGTCAACAACAGAACAACACCGATTACTTTCCCTCAGATCATGTGAAGTATATATATCATATCTTAATATATACACCTTTACATTTAACATTTATATTACAATCACGTTCATCTTTACATCATTAAAATTTATTAATAAAGGCCCCCAGTTCCCCGAACTCGTTAACTTTGCAGTTTATATCCCTCGCCAGTCATTCGCGGGTCAATGGTCAAATACTTAATTAAAAGGAGATAGGTAGATAATCTGTTATATTATGTTAAACACTTGTTCATTTCTATCGTTACATAATTCATATCATTATCTTTTTATTTCTTAACACCTTTATTATTACATAACTTGGCCATTACAAAATCATATCTTTTATAAACAGCGTCCGTTCACAACCGAAATATTAAGTAGAGTATCAAAGACCGTTGAAAACGAAGACTGCAATTATTTAAGCGCGGAAAATGATATGATAATTGATAAAGATACTGATATATAAACATAAATACCGTATTACATGTATATTACAGTTAATTTAGCTTAGAATACAGAAATTCCTATATTTCATGAAGTTGAATTTATAATTGTAAGAAATTGTCATTTGCGATTATAAAATATGAAATGAATTTCTGCGAAAAATTCGTTTTAGTATATGATACTAATAGGTGTGTACTTTTGATATTTTGATACTGATTAAGAATAGTGGTTAAAACATTTACAAATGGACTAGATAATTTTTAATGTTAGTTTTCGTATTCTCAGATTCTATATTTAATTCTTAATTTGGCCTTGTAAGAGGACCTTTATTTTTTTTCGCGAAAACAACAAAACAAACAGGTCTCATCCTATTATACACATACATTAGACCGAAGAAGTAATGATAGTGAACTAACAAGAAAGTAAAGTGACACAAATACCCAAACCAAACGGCATGGCACGTACTCAAACACTTTCAACAAACTAATATTAGATCACAAACTTAATGAGTTTGTTCTTATTTTCCTAAACAGCTTTTGCAGATCAGTTAAAAAGCAAATTATGTGTGACGCATAAAAACTGTTTCACCAGCTACGTTGACTACATTATTCTTTTATGGAATATGTCACATGTAGTAAAGTAAACGATGGCTTACATAGTTAAATTATTGCGTTAAATTATTCCATTACCCTGTGGATGACTATTACGGTAAATTTAATTACCGTCTATGATAACTCATCACCAGATGTTTTCAATCTTACAATCAAAGCTAGCATACAACATTGCAATTTTGTTATTGCCATTGTCAGGTTTCCATGTTTCAGACTTATCTTCTGGCTTATATATCAACTTATACTTTTATTTCTATGTCTTCTATCGGCTGTGTGGTATTTAATACTATGTGTTAATTGAAACTGAATGATCATCACATTCGAACATTATTCATAAACGTCAAATAAATTAATAACATTCTGTCAAATTAAATGTTAATCAACGTATAACCAAGGTACATGTATTCATGAAGAAACAAAAACTCCTTAAAATTTAACTAAAAGCTCTTCTTTCGTATGTTAATTATCTAGTCGCCCTCAATTTAGAAAAGGTTACGGGTTTAGCAATTAAACTAATGGGCGTTAGCCCCAATTGTGCATTTTGTGCATTTGAAATTGAAAGGACAGAATTTGACAATCAATATTTAATTCTTACTTGCACTGTAAATGTAATTATATATTAGTATAAGTTAATCTATGTTTGAGAGGTGACTCAACTCGATACGAGGGTATAAATGAGATCACTATATATTTCTCACCATGTTTTACACAATTCGTACAACGTTATGTTTTACCCCCCCCCCCCCCATTTTATCCAGGAGAATGACAAAGTCATAAATAACGTAGCACGTTCGTCATATTCGTGCACATGTTCTCACTGTTAAGCAAATTGTCAAATGTCATAATGCAAATGAATATTTCAAGAATCAAAATTTTTCACGTCTAATCCTTGCATACGGCGGATCACTAAATCATGAGAAGTTTTATTAGAATCTGCATATGTGCAATTAACACCTACATAATCTGTCATATTATGCAACTACATTTAACTATTTCTGTAACAAAATCTGCAAAGGCATGCACTGATGCGATCAATTTATAATCCATCAAAGTGCGGGCTTCATTGTTCAGAAGGCTTCCGGGTTAAGTTTATGTAATAAATACACCTTGGCGAGCAAACGTGAATTCAGATCTGGGAACTATTAAGAGTCTGGCAGTACAGAACGCTCGCAGGCAATGACATTACTAAGAAAGGCTCTATGTGCATTTTGCATGATTGTTGTAATACCAGTCATGTGCAAAGGTAAGACTCACATTTGCTTTCGATTCGCAGCAGTTGGCATTAAACAGATAAAAATAGAAGAGACTTTAGTTATACAATTATAAAACAAAACTAATGCGTTTTTTGACATCTTTACATTTTACAGCATTTAGCTTTTCATTGCGTTAAAACCATTATCGCGTTAAATATGTAAATTGCACTTGTCTGTTTTTGCAGTTTGGACAAAATTGTTTAAAATAATTAGAGAAAATTTCAAAACATAAACTGACTAAATAGCGAATAATATAGACCATCCATGACGGCAATGACTGTACCAAAAATATTCTGGAATATTCCAAAAACTCAATATACCAATATCCTAAGAGCAACAACATTTACCTTGATTTCAATAATTTTGCTCTTAAAACATCAAAAGATTGTTATTTATCTCCTGCTTATATTCCAATACATCAAATGATGGATAAAAATATTTTTGCTTTTTTAAATGTATTTTTATTTTGCAATAATTTATTTAGAAATTTGTTTAGATATGAATCAAATTATTCGACACTAAAACAACAACTATGTGTGCATTCTGGCAGATAGGGTTCTTGATTTAATCAAAAAGGAGTTCATGACTTTGAAGTTTTTTTATGTTTGATAGTTTTTCAAACATGAAATGAATATTAACTGACGAAGCTTCAAGAAATATTTAAATATTTTACACATACTTTTTAAAACGTACATGTATATACCCTAGAATTTCAGTATATGTTCATTTACAGTTCAATTTCTTTTGAAATATGATTCAATGCAAACCTAACTATAAACTGTTTTATAAAATCTGTTTTTTTTTCTAAAATTTATAACCAAGAGTTTTTCCTTTCTGACCATGTAGCACAGTATCGAGATTGGGACGATGACAACGACGATGACAACTTTATGGCACGCCGTTTCCGAAATAATTTCAGAGGACAAAGATTTCGACCTGTATATCAGCCGCCGGCACAACGAGACTATGTAAGAAATAACCGACAAATACCAACTGTTAATCGCATACCAGGCCGAAGACCGAACAGATACGTGGCCTCACAAGTGAAGACACTTCAACGACAGATTAATAGAAGAAATAATCAAAATGTTTACAGAGATCGAATGAGGCAAGTCCATCAACGGCCTCAACCAACTTATAGTAGCAATCAAAGAAGTCAAATCGTTCTGCCTTCCAGAAACGTTGTTTATCAAAGACAAATAAGACAACCCTCACGACAACAGACACGTGTACTGCCTCAGTCAAGAATAAATTACAGAAGAAATACCGGCAACAATCAAATCGCTCGTATTAACGCAATACGGTATCAAGGACGAAATAGGCAAATGCAACCTGAATCACGTCCAAATTACAACAGAATGAATAGTCGGGGTTCTAACGTCCATGCCTACCGCAACGTTAGAAACTTCAGAGGTCAAGGTAGACTGCAACCCCGAGTAATTGCAAGAAACAATTGGCATGATAGTGAAAGTGATGATTATGATGATAGCCGTGATCATGATGACAGCCTTGAACGTGACGACAGCCGTGATCGTGACAATAGCCGTGATAGTGACGATAGCCGAGATCGTGACAATAGCCGTGATCGTGACGATAGCCGAGATCGTGACAATAGCCGTGATCGTGACGATAGCCGAGATCGTGACACTAGCCGTGATCGTGACGATAGCCGAGATCGTGACGACAGCCGTGATCGCGATGACAGTAATAGCAATGATATTGATGATGATTTCCGACGACGTAGGATAATGAACTTATGGCAACGATTCAGACCAATGAACAGATTTGGTTAAGATAATCACCGTTTAATCATATGTATTTTTCTTCAAACAACCAGGAATAGTACCTGTTTGCGTATATTAATCAAAACATGCACAATCAAAATGCACATCATACGATGGAATCTATAGCGGGATAAAGCAAGGCTCTACAATCGGTCTTCGACAGTTCAATTCATAAACCTCTACAAGTTTGTAAATGTAATCTGTATTGAGCACCCGAGTTTAGTTGCGAACCTACAATGTGATAGTGGCATAGTGTAAGTCTAGCATCAGAATGTGATCAGCGAATAAATTTTTCACAACATGCCTGTTATTAATCATGCAAAAGTATCTTGTGAATCCCATACTTACATAGTGTCATAAATTCTGTGATGTAAGTGTTTGTCAATTGTTTCAAACTATATCATATCAGTTGCAATAATCTCTGGATTAAAACACAGTTTTGGCAAGTACAATTTAAGTGTTTAAAGAATGCTAATTGCATACTCTATGCTTTACTTTTATGTTTTTGTTATTGTTTTATTTGTTTGGTTTATGGCGCACCAACACAATTTAGCTCCTATGGCACCGAAGCAGGAAAGATGATTTTGGCTATCATCGGGGGCTACAAACTTGAAGCAACACCAGGGGTTAAAACCACGTCATCTGCTAAGAGATGCACAGACTCTTGTAATTTGAACCCAGTTAGTTGCCTCTTAAGATTACGCGAGGATGAACGGTGGCTGCAATCTGATGCCCCAACCCTTAAACCACCCTTCAGCCACAAGGCGATCATTTTAATGACAGTGTTTAATGTAAATGTTTTGTTTGCTTACTGGAATAAATTAATTTCGACAGATTCTATTCTGTACGATAACTAGAAGTAAATTTTGTTTTTACATCATTTTATATCCAGTTGTACGTTTTAATTAATTTGTTTTGTTATTTTTATATTATGCAACAATAAAAACATTGTTTTGTCATTGTGTAATTTGATTATCAAAACACATTTTGCTCTGTTCGTTCTTTGTATTGTAGCATGAGACATTGATGGTTTGTGTTGCTTTCCCTACTTTTATTTTGTTTTTTCAATGAAAAAGTTTAAAATACCCACAACACAACAACAACAAAAAACAAACAAAAAACCCCCAAAAAAACCCACAACAACAAAAACTCATGTAAATGTTGTCGTGGTATTAACTAAGATAAATATATTTAAGAAAAATATGAAATTAATATACATATATATGACAATTCATCACCAAACGTGTTTGAAAACTGTCTGTTCATACGCAGCATTTTCGCAAACTCTATAACAATAACTTAAGCAGTTTTTAATCTTTAACATTGGACATCACTAACAAATAAAATAGAGAAAAACAGAATCCCTAAAGAAAGTCAAACACGTTAAAATTGATAATGCTGCAGGCTCAGATTAATTAAACCTGCTCATGGAGGTCATTGCAATTGCAAGTTACCGTCCACGCCTTCTAGCACCGGCTTAAGCAGAATTGAACATTTAACATGAACTGATAAAGCTATACTTGGATGCACAAACTGCTTTACATTTTGGCCATAGCATGAAGCGATGTGAGATATGATAATAAAATCTACAAGGGAGAGCAATATTCATGGAACGTAGTTCCCTAAAAATCCAAAAGCAACGGCACCAAAAACAAGGCAAAATTGTTACTTAGCTTTAAAAGAATGTATAGGCCCATACCAAAGTATACCGAAAATGTTATTACCATCACTGTACAATGCATACCATATCAATTTCATTTAACATTCTAACGTAACGGTTGTAAATCTGAAATAGATCTGTGACCTGTTTGATGAGATATTAATGATAGAATTTATACATTATGTTATCGTGCATCTGACAATAAAATATTTTAAACACAGGCCATATCGCTTTTTAAGATTTTGAAAAAAACCTTATAAAAGCCCTCTTCTGTTTAATGTTTGTATTCTCAGTGCGTGAAGGAAGCTACAAAACGATAAAGTTTTAATTTGTATTTTAAATTTGAAGCTGCTATTAGATCTGAATGCTTCGTTTTTCTTAAAAGCTTTGAGTATTAGGTGAAATAATCGTATAATATCTGTTAATATTTTAATGTTTACGGTATAAAAAAGGATACATTTAGTACTCCGAATAATAACAATGTTGAGACAAAAGAAAATGTTGCAGACGAGATCAAAATAAAATGATGCAGACGAGATATTTGTGTATACAAGGTACCAAGGTACGGCGGAATAAGAAGTTGTAAGACCTTGTATAATTTCTCTTTGTATTTTAGTAATATTTGCATTTTTTATTTCACTCCAGAGGCAAATCAACACCAGCAATACTGATTTCTTGAAGGAGGTATTCATATACGTTGATGAACACGATAATGTATAACTTACTCTTTCTGTATAATACAATTATCTTGCGTCTTTCAATTAAAGCTCATAAGTCCTGATTCGTGCTCTTTAAAATGAACATTCAAAAACTGTTCTTAAGAGCTAAAAAGGTGTTAAATGTAAAATTAACTGGTTTTACATAGCTTAAAGAACAAACTTTCCATAGAAAATACATATCATCACATGTACATTGTCAATTAAAAAGAATCATGCCGACTAAACAGTGAATTTTGTTATACTTTGCTTAACCCTTTACCTCATATATACGCGAAACAACGCACTTTCGACCCCCCTCCTTTAGGCCTCAAATAGTGAAAAAATGTCCTGTTTGGGCCCCAAACATATGTTTTCGTTTAAAAAATGTTTTATAAAAAAGTGAGCACTTTTTCGGCACTATTTCCCCCCATCCAAAAGGTACATCAGGGGGTTGCCAGAAGAGGGATGTGCCCCCTTGTGTGTTTGAAGGGGGCGGCAGTCCCCCTCATCGCCAAGAAATTTTGGACTTGTGAGTGGGTTAAAATGACCCCGAATCGACCATAAGGTAACGTGTAACCAACGCTGAAAAGCATTTGACTCTATCTCAATTCATTGAGAAGTTGCAGCACTTTGAAATCAATTTTGATGGAAAAAAATCAACGCAAAATAGTGATTTTTGGCAATTTTGAGATGTCCCCCCTCGTTGCCATGGTAACAGGAAATTTAAGCCTAGGCATATTGTTACAAAGGCAATGGTCCAGTCACTATTTGTGCCAAGTTTGATTAATATTGAAGCAGTTTTTATAGTTTTTTTAGCAATTTGAACTTGTAACTTGAGACTTTTCAATGAAAACAGCCATTTTTCACACAATGCTCATGAAGTAATAGGTTAAAGCATTCAGGGACACTAGAATTGTAAATATTTATATAATAGTTAAACATTAATTATATTCTTATATTCTCTATGTGTTTTTTAATATGTTGTTGTTGTTTTTCGGAAGTGTGTTGCTTAAAAGAAATACAAGATGTGATAACTATTTGATACTTATTCATAGACAATTTGAAATGTTACAGTGTAAAGGGAAACAAGCACAGTACTTTCAATATATTTGACACGTAGTTGTAGAACATGCATACTATCTAAATATTTATTTTGATTTTTATACTTCATCGGTAAAACTCGGTCTTAAATATTAATGATAAATATAAGGCTACTTTCCTATATCACCTTTATTTGATAATTCATAAATTTATACTTACTACTCAAGTTAACGTAACAAGAATTTTTATGGCTTTTTGACCGCTTTAGCTTCAATAAATAAATAAATCAATCAATCAATCAATCAATCAATCAATCAATCAAGAAATATGTTATATATAATAGAATAGTTTGGAATGTGTGTGTCTAATATGCTTGTTACCAGCGACATAAAACTTTCTGTTTTCCTTTTTTAAGGAATTTTCTATGCCGACTGAAATAATAAAATCATATCCCTACAGAAAGTGCACTCGTAAGTACCTTTGGAATAAACGTTGGAAGTGGGGACCATTAGGTCATGTTATATGCGGCGTTGCTGTTGGTCCAGATGGCGCAAACGGCAACATTGTTGCTGAGGTACATGCTGGTGTTGTTGATGCTAAAACAAAGCTTGATGTTGATAAAGACGGTCATGTTAATGGTGCAGTCGGTGGAAAGGTGAATATTGACGAAGTTTAGGTTGGCGGAATGATGCTGTTGATACAGTTGATAATGTTTCACGAGTGCTTCAGTTGGTGTAGGATTAGGTTCACTTGGAGGAGTCAATTTACATTTTACTGCGGAGCCTAACGGTGTGACGCGGGTCTTTACATGAGACATTAATCGAAACGGTATTTTTAAGTAAGCACTGGTGCCAACGCTAATGCTAATCTCGGATCTACTGCTCAGCTAAATGCAGGGGTTAGTGTAAATATTAATGGGAAATTGACTAGAGCAGACTCTGGCTCGGTAAGTGTAGGACCCGCAAGTACCATCCGGAAGAACCAGATTCAGACCCGCCAGCATAAGCGGAAATGTAAAAATTGGAAGTGGTAATATTTTAGGCGGTGTTTCCGGATGTACTGGAGTCGGCGTACGTGCAAATGTAAACATTGGGAGTGGTTGCCGTTAAGGAGGTATTTCAGGAAGTGCCGGATCTGGGAGAATAAATGCTTGAGGAAGATTGGTAGTAGTGGTCAAATTTCCAGAAGCCGAAGTATTAATGCTTGAGGCATGAATATTAAAAGTGTTAGCTATAACACTGGTGGATTAGGCTCTTGCAGTTTGGTAGTATAAATACGGGTAGCGGAACATCTTCTGGCGGAAGTGGGGATTTAAACTTTGGTGAACCTGGTGGAAGTACGGATTTTACAGGAGTAAATGGAGTGAAATAAAACTTTTTTTATAACCCTGGTTCAGTGACGTCAGGTTTACCAAGCTCAGGTGGTAGGTCCTAACGTCTCATCAAATAAGTTAGAATTGGGCTAGGATTTCCGTTAAGAACTACAGGAATGGCCTAACACCGTGGGTTAGGTCAGATTGACTGTATTCGATGAGACTAAAACCGAGCTTGGTTTTTCGTTAAGAACTACAAAATTGGCTTTCATTTTAAAACTCATCAAAATGATTTTTAACCGTGGGTTTGGTCAGATTTTTTAGGCTAGAAAGGTTCATGGTTTTCCGTTAAGAACTACCAAAAAGTCCTATCACCAATGGTTTGGTGAGCTGAGGCTAAAACCAGGCTTGTTTTTCAGAAAAGAACTAATAAAAAGGCCTTTCATCGTGGGTTTGGTCAGCTGACTCTATTTCCTAAGGCTAGATTGAGGCTATTATTTCCTTAAAGAACTACAAATAGGCCCATCACCGTGACTCCCTTAGACTAAAACAGGGCTTGATTTTTCGTTCAGAACTACAAAAAGGCCTATCACCCAGGTTTTGGTCATCTTGGCTGTATTCTATGAGTCTTAAACCGGGTTTTGTTTTCCGTTAAGAATTACAAAAAAAGGTTTATACCGTAGGTTTGTTTCAGTTTACCCTGAGGCTAATTATTGGATTGGTTTTTCGTTTAGAACTACAAAAGAGACCTATCACCGTGTTTTTGATCAGCAAGATTGGTCAGCTTGACTGTATTCCCTGAGGCTAGAATTGGGATTCGTTTTCCGTTAAGAACTACTAAAAAAGGCCTAGCACCATGGGGTTGGTTAGCTTGACTGTATTCCCTGAAGCTAGACTCTGATTTGGTTGTCCGTTTAGAACTATTTAAAAGTATTATCACCGTGGGTTTGGTCAGCTTTACTGTATTCCCTAAGGCAAGAACAAGGGTTTGTTTTCCGTTCAGAACAACAAAAATGACTTTTCACCGTGGGTTTGGTCAGCCTTACTGAATTTCCTGAGGCTAGAACGGGGCTTGTTTTTCTGTTCAGAAGAACTGAAATGGCATATCACCTTCGATTTGGTCAGCTTGACTGTATTTCCTGAGGCTAAAACCGTGTCTGGGTTTCCGTTAGGAACTGCAAAAGGCCTATCACCGTGCGTTTTGTCAGCTTGGTTCTATTCTCTGACGCTATAACCGGGCTAGGAATTCCGTTAAGAACTACTAAAAAGCCTATCACGTTGGGTTTGGTCAGCTTGACTGTATTCTCCGCGACTTGAACTGGGCTTGATTTTCCGTTAATTACTGCAAAAATGCCTATCACCCCGTGTGTTGTGT